TGAGATTGTAGATCTAATCCAAGAGTTGAGAATTGATCTTACGGTTCTTACGAAAAACCCTTAGTCTCACATGATCCCAAGTCTCTCTCTCTCTCTCTCTCTCTCTGTATATATATATATATATATATATAATATTATAAGTTTTATATCTGTATAACCTAATACGAATCTTATAAAAATATCTAATCATTTTAAATAATCATTACATATTATATGAATAAAAAAATTGATCAACTTTATCCTGATGTCAAATACAAACTTTGAGATTGAACCATCATTTGGGGTGGAGGCTTCCGAACTTTATCCTGATGTCAAATATACTACCGTTAACGAGTACCTCACCCGTTCCGTCTGAAAAGGTCACCGATGGTCGGAATTATCGTAGTAATAACAATGTTTCCATCGGTATAATATCCACATGGATTGTTTTTACTTTTTTGGCCTGTTCTGTTTGCTGGTGCTGCTACTGCTGTCAAACTTAATGAGAATAAAACTGTAAAGATAATGATGTAATAATTGATATTTTATGGTCCCTAAAAACACATAGATCTCAATGTCAAACTTTTATATACCCACTTGATCAATTATTTGTACATACTCCACTATGGCCAACCACACAATAAAAATCTAACTATCAAACAGACCATGTAAAAAATATACCTATATTTGTTTCTTATAGTTAAATAGTGTCATCGTTTGAAGAAAATACAGTGTGATACACGTGAAACATTGTGAACTTTATCATTATGATACACTTTGATTCACAAACGTACTTAAAATACGATGTATATTAAGTAATTGATATACTAGGAAAAATTTAAATCAAATATTTCCTTCTAAAAAATTAATTAAATATTTTAATTAGTTGTTAAAATTAGAATTACTATATTACCGTTTTAGCTTATTTAAGAAAGATCCTTAAATATCTCAAATGAGTGGTTCACATTCGATCTTACGGTTATCACAAACTAATCAGTTATCCCTTGAATGAGCCCCTATATATGTTAAATTTATATAATAATCTACAATTTTACAAATAAAAAATGGAAAGAGAGATTTTTGTAATAACTTTCATTATGGAGTTTTATTGAAACTCTTATTTTGTTGATATGACAATGATGTGATAAGAAAAAATATGGATGTTCTAATTTGATCATCCACACTGTGTTTTCTAGGAGGGTTTTCAACATAGTGATAGCTTTTTTATTACATGTTTTTCGTGAGGTTTCTCGACAGATGTCGTAACTGCATGAACTGCTTTTTCAAAGGTTTTTCATATTTATTTGGGTTTAACTTTATAGAATTTTTTAAAAATTTGTGTTTAATCAATTTTATCTATTAATATAATTGAAGTAATTATATTTCTATATAATTAATAAATAAATAACTTAAAATAAGTACACAAATAAAGTAATTATATATTTTTGATACTAGAAGCGTACTCGCGCAATGCAGCGAGATACATCGTGTTTTTAATATTTCATTTTATTCTTTATCTCAGTTGATGTTATAATATGGCTTTATGTGATTTTGAGAAAGCGATTATGTTTTTATTTTTGAATAAAATATATGTTTGACGATATCATAAAAATTTGACAAAAATATATCGATATTAGT